AAGTTTAAAAGAAGAAGTAGTCATGTATTTAGTAGGTTTGCTACACGTATGTATACAGTTTTAGAAAGTATTAGATACAGTACCTAGTAAAGCTTAAGGATGTGCTTTACAATAAAAATGAATATAAACATGTATACAATAAAAATGAGATAAAAATTTATCCACAACTCTCAAAACATTAACAGTATTAAGAAATACATACATTTAATAAAGAAATGGTACTTGTTCAGCTTTATAACTTTACATTAATATTATACATTGACTAAAATTATACACAAAAACCTATTGACCATCTATTTCCAGACTGCGATTGGGTTTATAAACTGCTACTTCCATTGCAGGTCCTGGAGAGCCACGTGTTAGAGCAATTTCAAAGTTACAGCGTATTAGAACATTGTCTCGAAATACTAGTAAGGTTTTGTAAAGAAAAAAGCTACGAGATTAGTTATGGTAATTGATTAAATTATTTCTATTTTATTATATGGATATAAATATAAATTATAAAAATTAAGGATGTACTAAATTTCAGAGCCGAATGTGCCATTATCGGTTCTTGAACGTCGATCGGAGTTAGAGGTGCGTGCACAAAAGTGTGCAGATTTCAATATATCGCCTGCGCCTGCGTCGGTTCGTGCTCGCCCGCCGCCCACTGCTGGATTGGTGGCCGCTGTGGCGGATTTGCTTCACAATGTCACTGGCTTTGCGCGCTTTCCGGTGCAAGTTTGGAATGAAAGAGGAATCTACAGACTGTTGTTCAGGTTGAATTTTTTTATTACCTTCATGATAATATTAGTTGTTAGATGTTGGGTTTGCTTGCTCTTTTTATGTACAGTCAGCGTTATAATTTAGGGAAGTGTTATAAAGTGTTGAAAAAGATGTCAATTAGAGTAGTTCGATTTTATATAGTCCACTAATAATGCATATTGATCTTAAGTGCAAGATCGCAAAGTGATCAACAATCTTGGCATCATTTGTTCAAAATCTACTAACAACTCGTTCGAATCGATTTGACCGATTTGAGTCCAATAAGGTCGATTAGAATTTTTAGAAGATATCATACAATTGAAGGAAGGGTGCTAGATATTTTGATCACTTTGTTTCAATTTTAGTATGATTGAACTTCTGTACATACTTTACATGCTGATTGTACAAATGAAGAATTTGGTCTTTTACGACTTTTAGTTAAATATCATTTGTGTTCTTGCCCTAGTTGATAGAAATATTTCTTTTTTGATTGAAAACTATTCAAGGAATTTTTCATGTAAAGTGGAAATCATGACGACTCTCGACTGTACTGTTATGAAGCTAGCCAAGTTTCAATAACGGACTTAAATACATTGTTGGGAAATTTCATTTCATAAAACAATTTATTACTCACGCTTATAATAAGAGTAGCATTTACATTTGCGACATGATAGCCTAATTTCGGATTAGATACTGCGATAAGTGAAATTCTATTAAAGTTTTATCTTATAATTAATATCCGATAGTTAATTGTATATTATTATATCATTATTATCGGAAATCCTGAGACTTATCTTTACTTTATTATAAAGAGTTGAACTTTATAATTTATTTTGTATCTAATACTGATCCAATCATGAAAATTCTTACCTCTTTTCATCTTTTATAAAATTAAGTATAATAATACTTTGACCAATAAAAATGTCATATTGATAAAAATCTCATAAAATAATCCCGTGCTTAACGGACAACCTCTAAGACAAAAGAAGCAAACTCATTATACTAACTCTTTATAGTATTTAAAAAAATATATATAAGAAAACATTAGACTAGATAAAGCTGAGACCATAACATCTAGATCCGAGACAATATAGAAAAGTTCATTTTCGACATTGACCCGACCGGGAATCGAACCCGGTACCTCAGAGATAATGACATCTTGAAACCAGCGTGCGAATCACTAGGCTACGAGGTATAATAACAGGATTATAATTATATTTCTTTGATTACATAAAAAAGGTTAAGATTTCGTAAATAAGGTAAATCTATTCGATCCGTAGATACGCCTCTCTATGCAATGCGTCTCCGCCGGATGTTCAACGAGTACGGGCAGCAACGTGCCGCGCACTCGTAGCTGTGACGTCACACAAGTGCGTGCGCGCATCCCTCGCTTCGACCAAAGATTGTCTCCACAATTTAGTGAACACGCTCATACCTTTACAGGAAGGTAACATTATTATTGTTTATTATTCTATTTCCACTTTAAAAACTTAAGGTTAGTTGCATTAACTTATTTTAACAATAACTTAGATGTTAAAGTAGCGGTTAAGCAAATAATAATAACTGCTTAATATCAAGTAAATCCTAAAAATCATTTTGCACTTTGAATGTTTCCCGCACTTTTCCTAGATAATTTTACTATCAATTTACCCACCAAGTCATGCGCTCTAATTGGTATTTTGTTAGACGTGAGACAGACTACAAATATTGAAAATTATATTTTTGTTGATTGATTTAAAAATGAAAATAAATATTATTTAACAAAAATCAGCGAATAATCTTTATTTTTTTTTAATAACAATTTAATTTAATTATTGCTGTCTGTTTCCTTATTCTCAACGTTATAATTATACTTATATTTTACTAAGACAAATAAAATTGACAACGTGATTCAATACTTACGCTGTTCCGAAGCTCAGTTGTCGCCTAGAGTATTATCACAGAATATACTCTGGGGTATTATATTCCTTGGTTGTCTCAGTGTATGGTGCCGTATTTGAGTATTGTTTTAGTATGGAATAATAATTTAGTATGGAAGATGGGTATTTACAAATTAGTTCTTGTATAATAAACATTGACGTCATTCGCTGTCTTCAAAAGAAGTTACAGGAAAAAATATGTAGCTGTTTTGGCAGTGTAATGTAGTAGCATTAATGCACAATTAAAGTTACATTACGAGTTATTCTTTAAGGCCACTGTGAATATAAGCGGTTTTTATGCATAACAGAAATTGTTACCCAACATACTTAATAATCGATTGAAGTGAAATAAATAAGTAACTACTTATTTTTATGAAGTACTTATTTTTAAGAAACACGTATGTTCTTTGTACTGCTTACTTTCATGTATACAAAATTAAGGTCACTAGTTAGAGGGAATCAGGCGATCGCAAAGGTCATCAAAACAAATGTACAGCAGCAGTTTTAAGTATAGACGACCTAGATAATATTTACATTTACGTTATTTTTCACGTATATTCATTTAAAATTGTTTCTGTTGTTGTTAATAAGGTGAAGAATGGAAACCCTAAAGAATCATATTTTTTTTAACGAAATTAAATTTAAATTTGGTACATAATATGTAAGTCGGTGCTTTAAAGGTGGACGCATAACGTAAATGTACAATCATCACACGGTTTTATTTGATCAAATAACTATAATACCATTGGAGTGCCTGTCTCATGTTTATATTTACACTGTGCATACAAGTGACTATGTTTTTATGAGAATAATATCTTTGAACACACATTTTAAGTATTGGCGGGTGACAGAGCTTTATTGGCATGTGATAAGATAGCTATATGTTATTTATATAATGCACTTATTTGTTATCTTAGGAAGTACACATATCAAATTTTAAGAATAGTGACTGCAGTTAAGTAAATATGTGGATGTTGTCAGGTTACTCATAGAAGGACGAAAAAAATAAATAGGCCAGAAGTCGAGACGGCATTGTATTTTTTATCTAATGTCGCATTTACAGAAATATTTAAGTCGTATTTAAAAAAAAATATCTAGGCACAATATAGTTTTAATGTACCTGTACTCCTGAATGAATTATTTATCGATGAATGAATTATTAATGTGCGAATTATCTGTGAATAATGAATTATAAATGAGATGACATGAATTACAAAAATAACCAACTATTAATATGTATTCTTCTCATTTAAGAGCGTAGTTTTTCAACTTTCACAATTGCTTATCGATAGCTTAGATTAAATAAAAAAAATCACATTATCGACCACCATGACCGTCTGTGTGTCGCCATCTCTGTTGTCCCGGGTTCGATTTACAGTCTGATCAATGTAGAAAATTAACCTTACTATATTTGTTTCCGGTCTGGGAGTTGTGTTACCTTCGTTGTTTCGGATTTCTATAATTTAATGCTTTAGCTACTTTTGTAACGGAGCATTTTCATTGATTAATATTTATTTGCATACATTGCACAGATCTGAAATCGAGTAGCTATAGCTCTTAAATTATGGGAAGTATGTAGAACTTTACATAATTTACCGAATACCGAAGACAATATAGCCCATACCGAAGACAATATAGAAAACATGGTGACACCTCGAAATTGAGAATTTTTCGTTTTTCAAGTTAAGTAGCTTTATTTCTTCCATATTTCCTCTGTTTAATTTTTTACTTAATTAAGTCATTTCTCAACAAAATATACAAAATTTTACTATATTTCAGCAAAATAACAATAAATTGGGTGTCGGCCATTCGATATCTCTTTTTTTTCGGCTTGATAATATTGACTCGACGATTACGTTACCTTTTTCATCTGAAATTGTTTTTCTTAAAAATAAATTTGGTTATAGTCTATACATTTCGCTAACCAACAGACAAATTTTACAAGATAATATAAAAACAAAAGAATTAGCGGCGCACACGGCGTGCACACCACGGGCCGAAATAATCACGATCTGAAATAATTACATACATTTTTAACTTTATTATATAATTATGGTTTTGGCACTATTATGATGCACACTAGTTGCCACTGCAAAGAATACCATCCATAACTATTTAATATATGCGTTTTAGATGCATTCGTCGAGTTTAGAAAATAATCTGTACTATTTAAATATATCTGTATGAATAACTAAAACAATAATTGATTCGACATTTTCAGAGGATATGTACATAGAATGCATAGAAGCTAGGACGCAATCGTTGTTATTGCTCGGATCGTTGCTCGCGGAAAGGTCAACAGCTGAAAGCGTGTGGACGCAAATAAGGAACCAACATATGACGTCATTTTTTTGTTGCTTACTCCAAAGCTTAGAAACGGACCAAGAAGGTATGGTTTCATTTTTATAACTATTTAAAAAAAAAGGATCAGAAATTTACGAAAGAAATGAATCAATATGGATGCTTATTCCCATAGAAAATATTATATAAATACCTAAGCCTTATTATATTATGTATACAAAAGGCCACACTGTTAACTGCACAGTTTTTTTGCTGACTCATCACAGGAAAGAGACTTACATTTGATAATTATAAACTTTAGTCATAGGCTAATGGATGTAACTTATTTTCCTCAGATAATACTATCAAATCGGGTTAAATCGGCAAGTCGTTTGCTTTCGATTTTTGAAAATTATCTTGCTTATATTTTTATGAATATACTTTTCAACAAATCTATGTTTCAACATGAGGGTCTACTCTCAAAACTCTCTAAAAGGCTTTTATATGAAAACCGATTCCGGAATTTTGAAAGAAACTTATTAATAATCTTTTTAAATTAAACCAATCTGTTTTTATTAAAACTCACAAATAAATTGTAAAATGACAGTCTTTGATATTAAACGAAAATTAATTCAGCGTATTTTTTTAAAGTAGACCATTCGTTTTAGAAATTGAACATTATTGTTCTAATTTGGTTCTGCTTGTTCTTGGACCAGATTCTTCAGTATTCGTATAACATAGATTTATTACTTTGGAAACCAATGTTGCGCGATAATGTGAGTAATATATTGCAAGCTAAATTGTATCCACATTCTGGTTTTTTTATTAAGATAAAATTTCGCTATCATATATAGCTTGGATAAATGGTGAAATATTCGAACCCCCATTGATTATAGGCTATTGGAATTAGGAGTTTGATCCGAAATATCTTGTAATAATGGTATAATCCACAGTGATGATTCATGCAGGTATTCTAATCAAATTAAGTATAATACTTTGATTATTATTTTGTATTATAATTTATTGCAGATTTGAAAATTAACAATGTTTTAGTGTTCAAATTTTTGCATTCATTTACGCAGTTTTTATTGAAATAGAAATATAAATCGAGTAAATGTCGATTGAAATCTATGGTCATAAAGAAAAATTGCAACACGGCCGAATGAAAAAAAATACCTAGAAAACTTATGACTAAATTGAAACTAACGAATATTCCTTTCGAACCATGATAACTTCTTTCAGCTCCATTTTTAATGTGTAGCTAACAGTGTAACCGTTTGTACTCAAACTATGTTTAAAATATATCTGTTTTAATAAAACTCGTAAATGGTGATTCGGAGGACAATTTGTGGGGTAAACAAAAGGGATTTAGAGTGAAAAAAATCAGTAATCATTAAAAATATTTTATGCTTTGAACTTTTCCTTTGCCTTTTCTAGATAGTTTTACTACCAATTAATGACACGTCACGCGGTCTATTGTTTCATTTGACATGAGACATAGACTATAAATATTGTAAAAAGATATATTGTATATTGATTTAAAAAATCATTTAGCAAAAATAATTGACGAATAATTTTGAAAGTTAAAAACTAAATACAGTTTAATTTTTATCTTGCTACTGACCGATACCCTATTAATTTGATTATAATTATCACTTATGCAGTCTGTTTAATGTAATGGTTTTACATGTCATTTTATTATATTAAAAGTCTAATGGATATCTTAGTTAATATTATCTAAGAAACCTAGTAATTTGAGGGTAGACAAAAAATACAATTTATTGTATAAGTTTTGTATTGTTAATTAAATTAAGAATGTTTCAAACTATGATACAAAAACTTCTGCTTTATTATTCTTTATAGCTATATGTAATCATTCCTAAGATAATGGCTCGGATATTAATTCTATTAAATAATTATTTCCAGAACTTCGGATGGCTGCGTTGTACTGTTTATCACAGTTGGCACAATCTATTCACAAAATACATCAAGATAAGTCAATAGATGCATCTTTGGTCCAGTATTTCGATAATATAAAATCCCCTTGTTCATCAAGCGAGCTAAGCCAAAGATCCGGCTCTGGTGACCATGAATGTCACCCAGAGTATATGGTCGAGGAGTTGTGTAAGGTTTTAATAACATTGTTCATGAAGATAGAACTTGAGACTATGAGGTACCAGTGTTCTCAAGGTTTGTATTGTATTCTTTGTTTTAGGAGATTTTTCCCATATTTTAGTTCGAAATATTGTTGTATGACTACCTACCCGTATTTTAAAGGCTATATATATGTATATACCATAGATACATATAAACTTATCTACGAATATTATAAAGAGGAAAATCGATTGTTTGCTTTGAATAGGCCCCGAAAATACAGGATCTATTTTTAAAATTATTTCATCAACGGGAAGCTACATCATACGTGGGTGACATAGGAGTAAAATTTACGCATGCGAAGTCGTGGGAAAATAGCTTAAGTTACAGATAATTTGAAACCTCTAATAGATACCGCATGATGACTATTTTGTTAAAAAAATAAAGATGCCAATCTTAGCGGTTAATAAGTGGTGGGCGAAGTAACCTAGTAGAAGGACACGTATTCCGTAGTTATGGGAACCATAATATATTAAATGCATGAAGTTAATTGATCGAAATAAAATGTTACTATTGGATGTCAGCAAAAATATATTTATTTTTATTTAATTCACAATTTATAGCACTATATACTAATTGATACATCCAACTACAGGCTTTCAGTGAACTCGTACGTTTAAAAATCACCAACTTTCAATCAGTCGGTGAAATAACTTTTAAAAATCGATTTTGTACAAAAAAAATACGTTTAAATAAGTGTTAATTAAAATGGGAGAACAACATCACATTTCAGATATTCAATCAAAACCAAAACGTGAATTTATAATCCCGATAGAAAACAAAAACAAATTTTCCCAAAAAATTACCATTTCATTACCAGTTCTGAAATATTTTAAACTAGTTAACATATGTACTGTGGGTACATGATATATAGTGTTTATTGACCTCGGAGTGCTTTTAGAAGTCTTCTTGTCAAAGAATATATTCACAGATCGAACGCTTTGTCGTAACTGAGTATTCCTCCGACCTCCGTAGGTTTCAAGGTGTCGCCATCTCTGAGGTCCCGGGTTCGATCCCCGGTCTGGTCAATGTAGAAAATGAACTTTTCTATATTGTGTCGGGTCTGGGTGTTGTGATTCTTTCGTTGTCTCAGATATTCCATAATACGGGCTTTGATTACGGGGGGCTTTGACTACTCATCTTGGAATCTGAACAATGTATGATATTGTGTAATATTTATATATTATTAATTTAGAAATACACGTTATTTTCATACTCGTATTACTACTTTTGTTAAAACATTCTATGCAGAATCATAGATGCTTGACTATAGCTTACTGACTATCTTCCATGTGGCATCTATTCCCATACAATCATTTATTTATTTATTTATTGTAATAAAATATGGTTTACAAAAAAACTATGTCAAGGAATATAAGTATCTCACATTTTACTGTTAAACAGCATGCAATTATTTTAAAAATAAACTAATTGTATGTACTTAATTATTAACTATTATATCATTTAATTAAAGTGTTCCAAATAATATATCTTATTTAAAAAATCATTTATCAATAAAAATACTGACTTACAATATTTTCAGACGTGATGTTAAGTAATTTTTATTTATTGGGGGTTATCTGTGCATTACAAGTACGCTATAAGGTATGATACCACAGGTTCTATTCTATTTTGTCCTCGAAGGCGAATTCCGAATCGTGCTTATAATTTTGTTAGAATCTTATCTGTGAATATTATCTGGGCATCAGAGATAGCGTTAGGTCCTATCTCCGTTGCATTATAAATTATCGAAAAGTGTTTCTTTGGTGTTGTATTGGCATTTGGAAAATAGACGGAAATTTATTTTCATAAAAATGGAATGGGCCTTCAGGTGTTATGTTCATCTACCGTACGGGAAGTAATTATAGTTTTAAACATCACTCACCCTTAATGAAATTGGATAAAATGTACAATTGCAGATGAGCTTTGGCCTCGGGTTTGTTCGTGCTTAGCTTCAGTACTAGCCGTAAGTTGTCGCGGTCGACTTTATGGGATTCACGTAGACTTCCCAAGAGTACTGTTGGCTTCTCTACAAGGAGTGCGGGATCATCTGTCTGTGTTGGGAAAACCCGTTGAAACAATACGGAACGCAAACCATGTATGAATTTGAAATTAACGAACTATTCTTTAATAAAAAATTAAATGAGACTGAATGGGAAAGATGGGACTCAAACCCACAACCTTACGAAATCCCGGCGACTGCTTTAACAATTGACCTACCTGAGACTGCATTGCATTTTTCTTTAAATAATATAGGTATTTATTTATTTTATAGATAAAGCATTGTGAAAGCATTGAGCGGGCATGGAAATAGTTTTGTCTTAAGTCTCTTAAATTCTTCATTACAGCTAAGGTATAAAGAAGAATTGGACTTTATCTATATAATAACCATAGATCGGAGTAGGTAGAGCTATTTTGTGTACTTGCCATATGTTACGATAATATGGAGATTACCGAAATACCGGTATTTGTTTTTTAAGTAGGAAAATAATATATAATAATTTTGGTCTGCTTCGTGTTCAGCTTCACTAAAAAAACAGAGTTCATACTCAGTTTTTTTTACTAGGTCATCTTAGTTAAAATGAACTACCATTATTTTTTAATAAATTTTCAACGTGTTGGTAATATGAAGGTAACACGTCGCTCGTGCGTTTAAATTGGCTTATATAAACCATTTTTTTATAGTTATCAATGAAAAGAATTAAATTCATTATAATCCTGCAGTATCTATCGGAATCCCTTGTAATATCCACATTAACATTGATGTTTGACGCCCCACGTTGGGCGCCAATTGTGACGGGTTCTATGCTTGGGCAAATAATAAAAGGCTGACTAGCTTTAGAACGGATTTATTTTATGGTAAAGAAAAGAAACTGTAACAAACAAAAAATGAATATAAAAACAGTTTGTACGTTAAACTTAATAAAAAATTTGAATTGCTAAATAAAACAAATACATAGCTACCACTTTTGGGTTTCTTTTAATAAAAACTTGAATCGTCCAAGTTTCAGGATATACTTTTTTATAATTTTTATTTTAATCACAAATCTTCATTAGTAAAATTTTATGTTTAAATTTATACGATTTACAATGTGTTATTTACATGTTTACAACAAACGTGAAACGTGAAATTCATAAAGAGTATATTTTGATTAGTCAAAATTTCAAATTACGAAAGGTGAATAATAAAAAGAAGTGGTGTCGGATATCAAAGACAAAATGTCTTAACCGTTACAGTGTTAGCGGTTAATGAATCTAAATAGCTCTACTAACTCCAATCAGTGGTAATGATACTAATTAATAATTACAATACCTGGTCCTATTACAGAGTCCAACTATGCGAGCGCTTCTTTTGGACGTAGACGATTATGCATAAGTAATAATATTAGATATTAATTACAATACGTGTACTCTTACAGAGTCCAACTATGCGAGTGCTTTATTGGATGTTGATGGTGATCGGCTCGTGTATGGTGGATTGTATTGCCGCTAAGGAATGTTTCGCGGACGGCGGCATCTCTGCATCCCTCAATAGACTGTGGCCCTGGTGTATGATTACCGACCAGTTACGGCGTGCTACTTTAATCCTGCTCTTTAACTTCACCAATGGATGTCCGAAAGGTAATATTTATGCGATATTAATTTGTTTTCTCACAGTCAAAGGTTGTGAAGAAAAAGGGTGAAGCTATGAGGAATTTAGATACATTTTAAAATTTTATCACAAAAAGGTAGAAATGCAACGCAGGCCGCGAAAAAAATTTGTGACGTTTATGGACCTAGTGCAGTTTCTGTGAGAGTACCACAAATTTGGTTTAAGCGTTATCAGCCCGAAAATATTCGTCGGCCATATTATGACGGCAATTCTTTATGTACTTAGTTTAAAAGCTATATAGGGTTTAATGGGAATATTAAACTGTAAATATTATATAATGACGCAGACTAAATATTTAATTTTGACAGATACTGATAGCTGAGACAGTAATACGTCACACGCTTTAAATATTGGGACGTGACACGCAGCTCAAATATAGTGATTTTATTCTGCAAAAATATACGAATCTGAACTTAATTATTAGAAATTACTAATTCAGTAGTACTAAATAATGAATATCCTTAATTTAATATACGTTTTATACTTTATATTGATCACTGTCAATAACCCTATTGAAAGCAGTCATATCAAGTGTATAGTTTTAGTGGACTGTATTATTTTAAGTTTAAATTTCTATCGAAACAAAGCGACGCGCGATCACAGCGATTGAGATTGTCTCGGCGTGCTTCGTAACCTTACCACATCATGTCGCGTCGTTAATATTTCAGTAGAAGTGTTCTTGCAGTAAAAAAGCAGCAGTTACTTTTAATATTTACTGCATTGTATTCACTTCAACAAATGAAATTTTCAATACAAAATTAATGAAAATTAACACCGAAAAAAATACGAAAATCCAACCTGTTAATTCTAAAATATACTGAATGGCAAAAATAGGAATACTCTATTTTTATTTTGTTTTCATTTTAAATGTTGACAGAGTAAAGTCTAGATTTTACTACAATTCTTAACACCTCTATACACGGAGGAATACGGAAAGTTTGCTGGGGGATGTGCGCACGTTATGCACGCTGCAGTCGAGCACGAGTCCGTGTTTTATTTTATTTATTTTTATTTTATTTATTTTAAAGAAAACTTACAGCTGTGTTTAGGGATATATCAATACAATATATGCTGAAGGCCATTTAAAAGTTTTCACATATGGTTTAAAAAAAAACAGTGCGATAAGAAAAAACAATAAAGAGGTAATATACTAGGCAATACTTAAGAAATAATAGTTTGTCAGAATACGTTTTAACTGAACGGCTGTTTTGTTCGTGTCAATAAAATTATTAAAAAACAATTGTTTCAAGTGTTTACTGTACGCTGCCCTCTTCATTACACGTAGTAATAATACGGTTGGTTTGTTACAGCGTGGTCTTGTATGTGCACGTGCGTGGGTGGGCGGTGTTTGTTGGGGGAGGTGTGCACGTTATGTGCGCGCGAGTGTACGCTGCAGTCGAGCACGCGTCCGTGTTCACTGCTGCTATTATGTATACACACGTTGCGACATTGCGCCGATCATGCTCAGTGCCGCTCCAACATACTCAAGGTACATAAGACTATTTCATTTATAGCGGATGTGTGATTCCATTAAAAATATTTTTTTTTCTTTAATCTTAGCGATATGAATACATATACGGTATTATGGTACAAGTATATTAGGCTCAAAATTCTCATTGCAGATAGAAACTCTGAATTTTAAACTGTTCCACAGAAAGCTCACGTCTGTAATTTGTTTTTAGTTCATTTTTGCAGACGATGTTTTTAAGTTGGTTTAAGTTACTTTCAATTATGTTTAGTGGATCAACAGCTTAACGTGCCTTACGAAGCACGGAAGAGTAAGAAAATTATATGCTTATCGTTATCTATACGATGAACGGCCTTTGCGAAAGTCGCTTTACCTACGTAATTGCAAACCGTACTATACTGGGTTTTGATGTTATAAAGAGCCCATAAAGCCCAGTCTGTAGTAATATTCTTCTTGGATTGTGTCTCGGAAGAATCTAGCTGTTGTAATTCTAAATAACTGTCGCCATCTAGTGCAAAATGAAGGTCAAAAACAGCTAAGGAGTTAGTAAGGTGACATAATTTTTTATAAATTTGTGCATCTGCATTATAATAGTATCATAATACACATATTATATATATCAGTAAAACTCATGAAGTACGTAGATATTCCAATAAAAATAATATAAGAATGTTATACTTCGCAGAGTGACATCTTACTGGTGCTATTCAAAAGTATAATCCGAGAGCGTGGTCGTGGTGGCAGCACTGGCGTATGTTGGACCCGTCTAGCGTGCGCAGTGTCGCGATATTCCGACGGTAGTGCGGCGCTACTGTCGCTGCGCGCGCAGCTTCCCTCTCTCCCGCCGAATCTTCTCGGTCTAGCATTACCTGCGCTTGCGCACGCCGCCCATCATCATCGACAAACTTTGCTGCAAGCACGTAAGTATTTTTTGAAGAACCCGTCAGATTTTTGTATGATTATTAGGTTCACATCACTTGCGGGCTGGGTGTCAAGTAGTCTTTCTGCTTCCCATGGCCAGCAATCGAAACTGTGGGTGTATCGGAGGAGGTTTAGCGGGTATGCCACCCATGTTTTGACCAGCCTTCTGGTAGATAAAAAAAATCCCCTTTGACACAAAACATGTTCAAATCACCAAAACGCTACCATGGTTTGATACTTTTCTTAACAAGCCTGATGAAACTTATTCTAAAAGTGATTTTTTTAGTAATTGCATAGTGGTATTTTTCTATATCGGCACAAATATCTGTATCCGTTTCGATTTCTGATGATGTTACAAAACATATAATTGATTTAATATACAAATTAAGACTTCGTCAAATGTAACATGTCTACTAGACAAAATCCGTTAAGCTTTATTTACATAATTCATTCCAATACACTGGATTGCCTATTATCTTTATTTGCAGTATGAAGTTAAACCATGTCGCTCTAACGCGTTTGACTGACACAAACTCGTTTTGTTTGCTCACCTATAAGTCGCTAAAAAGTCTTGTTTGCACAGTTTCGTTTTCGAATTTCTGTTATGTCATTGTGTACTTGAAATCGTATCGTTTTGTCTGGTACGATAACATGTTACTATGTTGTAATTACTTATTCTACTATATATTAATTATCTATACTACTCATGCCATTATAGAGTCCCTTATTAAGCGCTTCTTATCATTAATTAAAACAAAGTTTATGCTAGAATTTAATATCTTTATTTTAATTCACATAGCAAAACCAACACTAAGCACCACATTGACTATTTCAATTAAGCTTACTCAGTAACATTAGATGGCATTTTAAAGAAAATGCGGTAAATCCACTGATTGACACAGCCGCTGCAACAATCATCTGTAAAAGATGGAGTGGCCAATGATGATGATGACTAGGTGTTGGCAAAAGTCAACGGCAGCTATCTTATTCTGGAAAGTGTTATCTCATAAGCAAAATCCCAATTGAGCCGTTGTCTTCCATTTCCATCTGATGCAGATATATGGTAACATAACTTTTTGTATCTGAATAAGTAAAGTATTATAATATCTTGTGATGTTACTAATTTCAATGAGAATTCCGACTTTGAAAGTGTGACTTCTCTGGGAGAGTATCTATGTCAATCTACGTTCGTAATATTTAAGGCGCTTACTATCTTATCTATCAGAATACTACGTTTCATTATTGAATATTGAGTTTTGGTTAATAAAGGTCATAAGGTGCAAGCTCGCATACCGCGAGTTCCAAGCTATTTCTATCGACGATGATACGATGACGATTCATTAGCTATAACGTCTGGTGGGCGACGTCACTACCTAACGACTTGGAGTTGATAGACCGCCATTGGTTTTTTATGTATATTGACTTTATAAAATATAAGATATACCATTTAATGGCTTAATTTAATTGACAAGTTAATCGGTGCGTTTAAGTCAATCGGTTAAGTGCCCCTAAGCAGTGCCCTTTCTAGATAGATCCCTAACTACATTAAGTTTCTAAGGTGACGTCCATTAATCACGTGATGTATTTTTTAACATTTTTGACTTTTCGGTTTAGTAATTGCGTGTTTGAGGAAAAAATAAATACACGTGATATATTATTACACCCCCCTTCCCCCTTGTGATAGTTCGTGATTTTAGACGAACCTCCTTCGCCCTCTTTCGAGCCTTACGTGATTAATGTACTGCCACTAAGGGTTAGCAATGCAATACGACGGGGACGCCGCGCTTGTTTTCTTCAGACAAACTTTTGACACCTTACCATGGAGTTTCTCTCATCATCATGGGTTTTTTACTAATTACTGATACAAATACTTACTTGACATGCTAAATGAAGTTAATATCTAAAGTATTAAGTAAGTACTTCTTTTTACTCGCATCGTTTTATCTACCCAAACCTACCCAAAAATGATTTGCCTCTCAAAAACGTGCGTACGCCCATGTTTGTGCTTTTGATATATTTCGTATAACATGTATATCTTTTTGTAGCGGATCTACTTGAGTTGTTGGCTGGCACTTTATTGGCGGGAGACACCACAGAAATGGTATCTGCAGCGCGCGCTGTCTGGGCGCTAGCTGCTAATAACCATAAGGTAAATATTAGAAAGTTGACCCTTCTACTTCCACCTAACCAAACTAATATTTTAACAGTGCTATTATTAAACAAGGTTAAGTGTCAGAGTAAATTTACGCTAAAATTGCAATCTCAGTATTGGTCCAAATTCATATTATACACTGAATAAGCAAATCTTCCAAAACTACCTTCTAGGAGAACATATTACTACCGGAGAACCTCGTACTAGGTTAACCTTAATTAATTCTCTGTTTAATAATATGAATTTGACTTATACTAAGTGCAGTTTCCGCGTAAATTTACTCCAACGCTAAACCTTGTTTATTGATAACACTGTAAGAGCTTAACTATGTATACATGCGAGTACGAATATGTGTGTGTGTGTGTGTGTGTTGTGTGAATAAGTGTATATGAAGATGCATGAAAGTAATATAGATATATAAATAGAAGTGTATACGTATGTTTCTGTTTTTCAATGTTATGCAGTGCATTCTTTCGATTTTGTTGTTGATTTATATATTTAAGGCTTACGTACCTCAAAAAGAAGAAAAAAATGTATTTTTGTAGGAACACTCGTGTGTCTATCACAACTAATTTGCTCTGAATCTATTTGACTGATTCAGTTAAAAATTGGTAGATATACGTAAGTCGATGACCGAAAGACAGGTCTTTGCCTACTCTGCTGGGAAAAAAGCGTGACATTATATGTATGTAGATAGATAGATGTAGCCATTTATTTGCACTTCTATTATTGCCTTTCTACTACTAGAGGATACTAGATGGATAGATTAATAAAGGATCATCTTATTTCTTTTCAAACCTCAAATGGTTAGTGGCATGTTGATGTTCCAGAACCCGTATTATGTGTGGCTTTTCTTATCGCCAGTTGTACAAACGTAAAAGTAAAATTAAAATTAATTTATTGCCCTTACAAATTCGACATTCATTAAAACTTAAAGGCGTCATTAAACCTTAATGGATGTTTGTGCAACTAAAATGAAATGAAAATGTTTTATTCAAGTAAGCTTGTTACAAGCACTCGAATCGTCCAAAAATATTTTTTCCCATACCACTTGTTCAGGACGTCTTTTAGCTGACAAGAAGAACAAGCGAAAGAAACTTACCAGCTTTTTATCATAAGTAATGACATTTACATAAATCATGTCATTACCAAAATAATACATATATTGAACAATAATAAATACAAGTTTCAAAGTCTGTAGGATATAGGTTGGTACATACCTATAATTAATCGTTAGAGAACAGAGCGAAGGCTATTAATTCCATGCATTGCGGTCCTTAAAATAATCATAACTTTATAATAGCCTTTACTCATAAGTATATTCTTTACATTAATTTGAAATTAATTTATGGGTAGGTCAATTACATGTGGAACTTTATTAAACATAGCAATACATTTACCCAGAAATGATCCTCTGGTTTTTTGAAGTCTGAAGCTTGGAACGGCAAGTTTATTTTTATTTCTTGTGTTAAGATTATGAACACTACTTTTTTTTTTGTGAAGGAATCGTAATGTTTCTGTGTACATAATATTCTCATAGATATATTGAGAGGCAACAGTCAGAATATTTATTTCTTTAAATATTTCTCTGAGAGAAATTCCATAGACCGTAAATTATATATAGCACGGACAGCTTTCTTTTGTAGAATAAAAATATCCTGAATGCTAGCCGTAGAACCCCACAACAGTGTACCATACGTAATTACACTATGAAAATAACTAAAATATACCAATCTTGCCGTTTCAACATTAGTCAAGTCTAATTTTCTTAACAGCAAAAGCTGCAGAACTCAGTCTACTTGACAAGCTATCATTATGAGGATCCCATTGCAGTCGGGAATCTAGTGTAATACCAAGGAACTTTGTCGATTCTACCTACTCAACTTTTTCACTATATTTACATTTATAAGTGTACTGACATGCCTCACATTAGGTAATGCAAACTTTATGCATTTCGTTTTATTTGAATTGAGCTTTAAATTATTATAACCAAACCACTGTAGAACATTGACGATAACAATCATTACCCTCTCAACTTTAAACAGTAAAGAGGTGTCATCTGCAAATAATACTGTCTCGCACAAATTCTTCGTAAAGCGAGGAAGATCATTAATGTAAATTAGAAAAAGCAATGGTCCTAATACCGATCCCTGAGGTACGCCCATATTAACTGGTGCCCCAGCAGACAGATAAATCGTCCAGACTATATAATAGCTTTCCACAATTTTCCAATACTTACGAACATTAAAATATGTACGATTGGGAAATTTCCGCGGTGTAACTACCTAAACTTTTTGTTTACATGTTGTACATTTGATTTTAATTTATTTGTTAGAAATATGACGTTGAAGTGATTGTTTACCAGAACATTAAAATTTATAAACTTACTTGGGAAAAACAGAATGGCTTCCATTGTCTTTATTATATGGCATTTCTTTTTTTGTCTTCTATCTTGTAAGTAACAAGAATATAAATAAATATTTTAAAAATAGCCATTAACCATCCATTTTTACTAATGCATATATACTTGTTTGGTTTATTAAAAAAGACTAGCTGTTTTTCCGCGTTGCTATAGTACCTCAACATTATAATTTTTATTTTATAATTATATAGATATTTCTGATAGCCCCCAAGCAACATATAAAAAATGTAACAAAAATATTATCATAAATTATTAAAGTTGTCGTCTATATTAAAGTGAATAAAGCAGTATGTCTGCCTGAATATCTCAATGAGGGTATTTTGTCTGGCATCGCACCTGAGCATAGGTGAAACTCCCTAGGATTTTATTTACCGTACGTCCGCCTTGTGTTGGATGGTTATGCCAAGACCGGCCCAGGGTTGTCACTCAATGATATTTTTTGCACGGGTTGCAATAAGGAATAGGCACAATTTGTAAAAACGTTTCCATATGATTATTTACATTGTATTGATGAAAATAAATAACAACTACGAGCAGTTTAAACGCCGGAATATTTGGCGCGCTTTTTGTGACGTCAAAGTACAAGACTAGATTATAATTTTGGGCAATCGATTAACAAATAATCGATTTCTTTAGGTATAATAGACATTTTTAATAATCATATAGTTTACCTAGTTGGTGAAATAAAAATAAAAGCCTAAAACATCATTTGAATTGTAATCTGTTGTGCGACATAATATATTAATGTTCTTACGTATTAATGTTTTGTTTTGACATCCCCATACGTGTACATTTTCACATCCATTCTGACAAGTAGCATGGCGTTTAAATATTTTAACTTAATAATTATTTTACTTTATAATAATTATTTTCAATACGAAACAGAACTAATGTTGATAAAATATATATAACCCCTCTTTGATCAGACTCATATTTCCTATTTACAGGCGGATATTTTTTCACATTCTTCTTAGGGCGTGTGTGCACCATACTGAATTTCAAGACCGGCAGTCCGATTTTTTCCGGTCCGATATGTTGAATATCGATTTGTTTACGAAATATCGTCAACGATTGGTTTATCTCTGTAATCGCTTGAAATTGTTTTTACAAAACTTCGAAAGAAAAATTGCATGATTTTATATTTAAACATCCAGTACTAGAACATTATCAGTAATTTTATTCAAATGTCATAGATATTTTTAGCTACTGTATGTGAATAATGCTGTTCCTAAATTAGTAAGGGTTTAAGTTTTTACATCTGATAGTAGCCATCCGATAGTAGTAAAAAAAATGCTTTCGTCCTGCCTCAATTTATTATGGTTTATGTAAAAGGAGTAAGGTCATTATTTAGATACCTTTAACTTTACTTATAAGGGAATGAATCCAATTTTTTTTCTGTCTTCTACGTCTTCGCACGTAGAGTAATAAAGCAAGCAATTACCAACGTTCCAAAAATCTCATCGTACCTAGCGTAAGTGACGTGAAGCTTCAAAGAGAGCTGCCATAAAACTACGCCGCTCCGATCCGGAAAAAACGGACAAGTGCACAAGCCACTCTTCTCATCCGGGTTTTTCATCTCATTCCGGACTGGAAAATGCGGACGGTCCTGAAAATTCAGTGTAGTGCTCAAACGCCCTTACTGTTCGCGTTTTTGCGCATATATAATAAATATAATTATGTTTTTACCCTAACGCTATATGTAAATATTGATATGCCTGTTTAAAAACTAGTAATATTGAATTTGTTGCAGGCGAAACTCCTTCTCCGCAGCGCTGGCGTCGCCGCCGCAGTACAATCAGCGTTGCAGCGTTTACGACGTGCAAACAAGGATCCTTCCTCGCAGCGAGCGTTGGAACTTCTAACATACACCAACACAGTACTGCAGGCCACGTGACGATATCACATTCTACTAAGATCGTTTGAGGCGAAATTTTGTTTTTTCAAGAAGTTTTAACTTACAATATTTCTGAAAAAAAACCTACTTCTACAATTAATGTATTATATTGTGGTCATGATTTAAAAAAAAAAAAATGTTCCGTGTCATAGCTATGATGAAAAAAACGTATTCACAGTTAAATTTAATAGAATTGCTCTTGTTATTTATTTTTTGTTGAACAAAAATATGTAATCAATCATCATATTAGCTATTGTGCTTAATAAATTGAGTGTTTTGTTTGTTAAAATAGTAAAGAACTCAGTTAGTATTTATTGTTGTATTCAGCAAAGAAAGACTGATGTGATATGATATGTCAATAAATGAAGTGGTGCAAAAGTTTTTTGCTGTTTAAAAAAGTGAATTCAATGTTTGAATATTTAGGTCTGGTGAATATCAAATGACTGTTGTTTAATTGTCCTTATAATTATATTTCTGATTATTTTTTTACTGTAAATAATTGAATAAAATATACCTTATTTACTTGATGTTGATTTATTGAACCTTGTGTGTTTATAGAACGACCGCGCTTGTTTTTAATACAGGCCCTTAGAAGATTTGGCCAGTCTTCAGTGGCGGCATGAATCTTTTCTAGCGGAATTCGCTTTGCTTCTCGAACAAGGGTTGCTTCAGTGACTCTGTTCTTAGTTTGAGTGGGCCTTTCGGCAGATCCCACTTTTGGCAGGTGGGACTCTAATTAAGTACACAAAGAATAATCCAGCGGGTTGAGGTCGGGGCTGGAGGAGTGCCACTCGTCCGCCGCAATGAAGGCCGGCATATTCTCCCTCAACCAAGCTTGGGTGCTTTTTGCCTTATGAGACAGCGCCGAGTCTGGCTGAAGAACCCAATCCTTATTTTACTGGCACTGATAATTCTTGGCTTTTGCCTTGACACCTTGTTAGCAGAAATGGAGCGGAGTGTCACCTTCATAACTCCCCAACATAGCATCACACTAGCCGGATGATGAGTGCGCGAGACATTCCGTGCAGAAACTGGCACATCCTTGCTACTTTAAGCGTACACTTTATTGTTTTGTCTTTAGCTTAAGATTATATTTCAGTATTCTGTTCACTGACATGCTCGAAATATAAGTCTGCAGAGCGAGTTTCTTCTAAGCGCGTCATGGATTTCGCGTTGTCGCTCTCGGATGATTTTAATGTTCACAGGCGTCCTCACAGAGCGTGGCCGACTACTCCTTTGGCGATCTTGCAGAGAACTTGTCTCTTTGTACCGCTATATTGTGTAATAGACGAAGTTACGTCTTACATGAAAACTTCAGCTCGCGGAAAATTTGCGAAATGACAGTTGCACGTAATTGTTTCGTTCCCTCCATCACGAGAAAATATAAACAAATGAATTTACTATACAAATAAACTAAAAGTTAAGATTCCCAATTCAAAATCTGTAAAAAAATATCAGCAAATAACATTTTATTTTATTTTTCAGTAAAAAGGAGTTAGTAAAAAATGTTACTAATTCTTTGTGATAAGACTAAAGTGTACACACTATTACAAAATATAAACGCATTTCAGTATATTAATTATTAAAAAATATGTAGGTGTAGTATAAAATATCGGCGTGTATACCGAATACCCGCAGTTCCTGTTGTTGAATGTCACAAGGACTACATGTGCCATCCAGTCTCGCGGAGGCCGGGCTACGATAAGGCTCGCCGTCCAACAGCACGGCCAAGTCTGTGGGTTTGCGTTACTCATTATCGGAATAATAAAGTGCGATAATCCGTGTTAACACGAGGCGCCGGCTTCTTGTGTCAGTGCGCCCGCGTCCATGACTTACGCATGTGCTAAGTGTTCGTTAATCAATGAAGAACAATGTAACGCCGTCGTCAACGGATCGATTGAATTGGCAACTGATTGACGTGTAGTGTGTCGCTAGTATTGACTAAGATGTCGTCTCCGCAATTCAACTTTCCGCCTGAGAGTTTCTCGGCGGTGTATACGGACGGTGCGAGCAATACGAATGTGAGTGGTTTGGCGACGTTATCACGTGTGCGTGTGTGTCGCAAGGTCGCGCATCGAGTACCGGTGCATTCAACTCGTTTGTCAATATCTACTTAAATATTAGCGTATTAGCGTGCGCCGGACAATTTGCTTAATAAAACGCAATCATAATTTGTTTGTGGACATATTCATTGTCCTACAATTGGTTTCATATACATCGTATAAAACAAAGTATCTACCTACTAATATTTATTATTGGTGTAATGAAACGTGGTACAAGAAAACTTGTTTGAGTGTAGTTGTTGTAAGATGTTGTAGTTGAAGTAGTTGTTGTTGAGTGTAAGATGTTTTTATAGACAGTAATTTATCTGTGTACTAAATGTTTACGTTGTAAAGGTTCATAGGACGCAACGTCTTGGTACACGCACTATGATACATACGGCACATCTGCTTTGTTCTTTACACTGCCAAGGTTAACGCCACGTAATAACGTTGACCAAATATAAACTAACATAATCGCTTTAAACGCCTGTTTTTGTTTTGCTCGCTCAATGTACGAACATAATACACTTTCGCTTATTGTTGCGTAACTACTGTAATTATTAACACAGATAGGTAGGATATGTATTTATTCAGGTACATAAACAGAGTATTGCACAATCTATGTCTATTCTCATTTACAAAGCATTAGTTCAATACATATACAAATAATATATATCCACAGTTTATACCATAACACACTTTTGTTTACAAGTTAGGTCAGTTTCACTGACACTTTTAGTTTTGATGTAATATTACAAAGAAAAAAAAAAGAAATGATAAAATGTATCAAAACATGCAAAATATTAAACACATACTGTGCTTAAAAGTATACGGAATCGGTCAATGAAACAAAATAAATTCATTTCAAATAACAAAGGCGACAAAGAAGGCCTCTTCTGAAATAAGTTTTAGAAATTTGAATCCCAGTGAATAATATAATAATAGAAGTAACTAATACGCAATAATGCAGTGTACATCACAGTTGATTATTCAAATTCATTTAATTCTTAATTAGGAATTGGTATCCACCTAATTTATATTTATTCCTTAACTAGCTTTCGCCAGCGGCTTCACCCGCGTGGACCCTAGGGAAATGTTTAGTGGAATAAAAGTATCCTATTATCTAAGTCAGCTAATACCCTACCTGTATACCAAATTTCATCAAAATCCGTTCAGTAGTTTCGGCGTGATTGACTGATAAACATCCAAACAAAGAAACTTTCACATTATATAATATTAATAGGAAATAAAAGGATTTATAGTTTGAAAAATGCAAAAAGGATTGAACCTTGTAAAACAAAATAAAATATGCAATATAAATGGGAAGCCAAAACTTCGAAAGTTAAAAAATGGCATTATTATATTTGCCAATTTTCACTATTATAGCTTTGGAAGATAGTGTTAAAACAGTGCAGCCGGTATTTTACTGCGATTGAAACGTCGTTTCTCAGTCACATTCCCTTTACTTTAGCGATATTAAGTTTGATTTAAAATGTTAATATGGTTGACCAGAGTAAGGTAAATATTTCACTTCGCTTTTAAATGGACTGCAGAATTAAAGACAGATAGATGTTGGTTTGATATTTTTATTCTTTTTCGCAAAAAAATTAAAAACAATCGTTATTAATCGACAAAATGGTACACTGGTAAACCAAAAGTAATGGTAAACAAAGTGGCAATAAAAATACCCAATAAAAATAACGCAAGCTCCGAGTGAGTAAAGAAAGAGAACAGTTGTGCTAAGGTCCAAAAATAATTTTGGAAACCCTAGAAGGCCTACTCTGACTCTTCGGAAACGAAATTTCGGCTATTTTTACTTGACTGCAAAGGATCTTGACGCCATGTTCGTCAACAAGTCGATTCCGGTGGGTTAAGCCAAAAAAGTTCGCACAGCGAGTCAGTCCTTACTACGGTACATACGGTATATGTATGTAATATTCTTTATTACCTCATATCTTCAGCACCGCTTAACGGAATTAGATATTAGAGATATCGTTAGATTTTTTAGCAGCCCAAGTGTTTTTATATAGGTTATTATCTAATAAAAATAATACAATTCTGAACAAACCTGGTAAGTTTAAGTTTAAGTGGTTGTTTAACTAAAAAGACAAATAAAATTTTAATTTAAAAAAAGCCCACCTGAGTGAAAAACAACCAACTGAAACAAGATTGCACGATAAGTATGATATTGCATAATATTTTTATCTTGTTCCATCCTTTTCTGTTGGTTGTTTATCACACAGAACATAGAGAGAGAATAGAAGTAGTAAGTGGGCGGGGCACGCGTCGCTGGCATATGCGCTTTTACTCATATGACGCCCTTTCCTCGGTTTTATGTTTGCCAGTCGTTCGTCAATCGTCGAGTGGTGATTTTACAGATTTTTTCTATAAAAAATGCCGTTTTGTGCTATTATCACTTGCAAAAAGCAAAGCAAAGTATACAATCTAACTAATGCAAACATTTCCTTTCACTGGTAAGTACAATTTTAGTGCTAAAATATAAAAAAAAACGTAATAATTTGACACAATGTTAAATAAAATATACATTGATTGCTCAAACCAACATCAATGTTTCTGACCCCATTACTAAACAGCAATGTAAATCATTTTGTGCACTTTTGCAAAAAATAGTGCTGTGCCTCCATTTGTCTGAAATGTACCGATAGGCTGCTGCTCGGAATCGTATTGTTAATTATATGGATCGTAATCGATAACTAAAACATATTTATTTAGAGCTTTTCTTTCATCATTTCATAACAACGTTATCGATAAATATATGCCATAATTATATAAAACTAAAAAATACTGTTTACAAGGGAAAATTATAGATGAACTGATACTGAACAAATGAAATAATGAACTGTCCAGGCACTTTTTTTACGAAGATTCGGTTAATTATTTACACGCAGATAAATATTAAAAATTACTGATGTGCTATAAATATCTAAGTTACGAAGT